GAAACGGAAGGTCGTAGAGCTTAGCGGAAAAAAACCAACGGATTGCTCTCAACGAGATCTCGCGATTGGTGGTATATTTTTTGGTCCTAGGTCAATATTTGACCTACTTTTGACCGGTCAAAGGTCAAATTTTCGGAAAAATAGACTTTTTTCAACTTTCCGCGGCGATTGCGGCAAAACAGTGGGAGATATCGACTTGAAACCTTCACTATCGTGTTCCTTGATCAATTCTCTATCGTTTGGTATGTATTTCGTTTCCCTAGCTCTAAAAATGGCGCGTTGGGAGCGCCGGAAGTCGGCAAGGTCACAGTCGGCGGCAGAAATTCGAAAAATCAAAATTTAAATTTTTGAAATCTGATTGTATTTTTGGATTTGGGAGGTCCATTTGCTCCCTATAGAAGCTAATATTGCTGCATATTCCCATTGAGGTGACAAGAATTAGCGAAATAGTGGTTCGGGCGCTTTTCAAAAATAGTACCGGACGCTGTTCCTCTTGTGACGTCATAGCTCCGTGACCTGACCTGACCCGGTCAAATTTCTTATACCATATGATAGCCAATACTTGCCCCAACATGCATGGGAAGTTTCATCACGATCCATCAACCGATGTCCGTACCACCGGCAGGAAACCTCGGGCGTTGGCACTCAGTTTGTGAAAATCCGGCCGGAGGCTGTACCTCTTATGACGTCATAACTCCGTGACCTGACATGACCCGATCAATTTTTTTTCGGCAAAAGATGCGCAAAGGTTGCCCCAGAGGGTATTGAAAATTTCAGCCCGCTACGACAAGTCGTTTAGCGTGCACTTTGAAAAAACCTCAGGGGGGGGGGTTGATACAACCCCCCCCCCTAGGCGTTCTAGGGTTAAGCCAGATTGCACTGCTGCGTCCACAGTGTTACCTAGTGACCTGTGACCCACAAGTACCTAGTGTCAAAACTCATGGCCGGGCTGTATTCTGACGTCCCTTCGTCTCATTCGTCTCAGCTGACCTCTGTGCCGGTCAAATCATGCACAGTGACTCAGTTTACGCCCTCACGCGAGCCTCGTCAGCCGCTGAGGCACGGGCGCCTTATGTCGTCTCAAACAATGAGCACGCAACCCGGCGTCCTAACGACACTGCGGCGGCGCGCTGCTTCCATTGTTCCTGCGCGGCGGACCACCAGTGGTGCTCTCCTCACTGCAGGTGCCGTCTCTACGTTCCCACGAGTGTAAGTACGGTCTGGTTACATACTCGGTAATTTTGTTAGCCAACTCTGCCCAAGGCTGCTGGCTCGCTTTAATGCAATGATCTGCATGAAATGAGGCGGCACTGCTGCGCTCCCGTCTCGGCCCGTCTCTGTGTTTTGTGCCGACCACATTCTCCCTCGGGTTCGGTCCGTGGGTGGGCGGGAGAGGTGGACAGCTGTTCGGGACTGTCAAACACACCCCCGAGCGCCGCCCATCGGTCAGTCTCTGCTGACTGCCGGACACGAGACTCGTTATTGTTCCAACTGACCGGAACGAGACCACAGAGACAGTCAGAGGAACAGGACTTGGAGCGCCCTCGCCCGAGGCTGGTCGTCATGGGAAAATAGACTCACCGAATGTGCTTCTGGTGGCGCATCTGATACATTATTGACAATTGACGCACCTGGTGCCCTTACTCCCGTCGACGCTTTGTGTTGCTACACAGGGACTAGTCGCGGTTAGTGGATCGTTTTGGCCGTGTCACCGGTTGATACGACCCCCAGTGACTTGCGGAGGCGAGGGAGGCGCGCTGCGGCGTTCAGTGACGAGCTTCACGCGCCGGTGACGAGCAGCCGCGGCGGCGCGTTCATTCCCGTCTGACCCGTATTTCAAGGTCGGAGGCTAACACCCCATTAGAGAGGCGCGGGCGGGCGGGCCGCGGGCGGTACAGCGGTAGCCACCGCCGCGCCGCCGCCGCCGCACACTGGTCGGAAACGCTCCAGCGAGAGGCCAGCGGCCTTTCCGCAAAAGTTTTTTGCTTGTTATTCCACAACTAGTGAAGCAAACTTCATAAAACTTTGCATACCTTCTCTGTCATATGTAAGCTATCATTTGGATGTCAAGCACTAAATATATGACGTAAATCTGTTAAGTTATGACGTCATAATTGAGAATAATACAGGATCTAGCACCACTTTAAGTCAAGAAGGGAAATTGGGAGCTGCTATTCGGGCACCGGGAATGGTTTCATGCACTCCTTGCAAGGTCCAGTGCTTGACTTTAGCATTGTTGACTTTGCGTGACGTCATTTATGACGTCACTAAGGCCATGTAAGTTTTTCGTCAATAACTCCTGATCAGATGGAGCTAGAGAGTCGGGAAAGCCACCATTGGACTCAGGAAGACCTGCCGAATCGAATGATATGCGATATGACCTCCTTCAACCATTTTCGTGACCTGAGGGGCTCCGACCTGACCTTGACCCGAGGTTAACACCTTAACCCTCGCCGGCACAGAGGGGGGGGGGGGTATGATCGCGACGAAACTTTTAGTACCCTCGCATTGATCGATTTTACACCTACCCTGAAAATTGCATGACCCTGACCCCAATGACCTTTGACCTGTGACCTATTTTCCGTGACCATGTTTGGCCGAAATCGCGATTCGGCGTATGTCGGCTCGCATTAGCCGCGCGTTTGCAAGCTTTTCGTGGTTTCAAACGTTCAAACATGTGATTTGATGTTGCTCCTATACATCATGATGGGTGTCAAGGTCACCTGAAGGTCAGGTCAGGTCATTGACCTTTGGTGACCTCGCGGGTGACCTCGGTTCACTTTTTCGAGTTTTACATGTTTCTAGGCTAGTTTTTGGAGCTGAATTCTAATTAAGCAACCAATTGAACATTTACGAAGTAGTTTTGGTGCCTTCGTAACATGTTACGTATTACACGTATTACGAATACCCGTCACAACCCCTACCGGTTGACCTGACCTGACCTGACCCGACCTGGTCTAAATGCTTAAAGACATCATCTCTGATCAAAACTAATACGATATTCGTGATCAGCACCCCGGAAAACCACATAGCAGCCACAATTTACGACTTTCTAACAGGTCCCGATTTTCCCGGTTTTCGGGTCATTGACCTGACCTGGAAGGTCACCCGATGACCTAGGACCTTAAAATTGGGTATCATCGGCTTCCTCTCGTGACGGGCAACACGCTCGTTTTTTCCGCGAGGCTCTAGCTCGATCAGGGGCCAAACGCGAGGGGGGTCGTACCAACCCCCCCCCCCCCCTTGTGCCGTCGAAGGACGCAAAATTGCCTGTGCCGGTGAGGGTTAAGTTGACTTCAACCGAACACCAAGTATAGCATTCAACGCGCCTGAGCTAGACAAACACGATTATGCCAAAATCGCGGCAGTGCGACCATTTTTGGCAAAGTAATTAACCTAAAACCGAGCCCGTGCCTTATGGCACTTACCTGACCTAAGAGGTCACTGGCTGACCTAAGACCTTAAAATCGGGTAGTACCTAATTTTTGCGTCTTATAACGGCACACAAGCTTGTTTTTTCCGCGAGGCTCTAGCTCAATTAGAGGCGAAACGGCGAGGGAGATGTACCAACCCTCCCCGGTCAATGTAGAAAACCAATCGGTCCGGCCAGGGTTAAATACCGGAATTGTGATCTAATGTAAAAAGACGGCCCAAGGTAACCCGACGTCAGTGACAGGTGTCCTATATTTGCAGCGTCTTATATTCACGAAGGTTTCAATTTCCACTTTCTTCAGCCGAGTGATGGTTGTCAATAGCAAGGCTCTCTAAATACAAGCCGTAATCGCCACGCAATATGTGGAAGGCTTTTGATGTCAATACATACATAAATGCATACATAAAACGCGCTTTTCACAAAATTCATAAACTCAAGCGCATCTGTTTTTAATGACCAGTCAGCTGCGCATGGATGCGTGCAGGCCACACAGGTCAGCGTAAGCCGGGCGCGGCGGCCGAGCCGAAACTGGGGCGGGGCGGGCGGTAGTTGGGTAGGAAGAACGGCTCCTGCAAATTTTGCGCAAATATGCGCAGTTAGCTTTTATGTTGCCCTGGTGTAAATTTAAATCCTACTTCATCTCACAAAAAATCAGGGTGGAACTAGATGGGACTACCTGTTGTTTCCTTACCTAAACTTTGCAGTTATATTCCAGAATCACTGTAGGAGAGCCTTCATAAAAAAGCTATAGTACCTCTTAGTTAGGGAAAAAGTATACCAAAAATTTTGCACTGACCAGTCGGCAACTTCATAACGAACATTTTGATGCATAATATGTGGGATTTCAATTTGGTGTCTATCAGCAATAAGACTCTGAATATCCGCCTCAAGAAACCTCTTGCTCCGCGTTAGTTTCCGAGTTCTGGGATACCCCATCTTCGGGGGCTGATTACAGCTATTTTTGGTCACCCGGATTAGTTTTTTTGGCCTAAATATAATATTTGATCAATTTCAAATCGATCTATATAAAAAATAATCCGAAACTCCGGAATCGCCCGTGGCCTCTCGTGAGGGCGTTTCCGACCAGTGTGCGCCGGGAGCCTAGAGTCATCAGGGTCAAGTGGACTAACCTAATGAGAAAATGGACAGAACGAGATCAAGAGCCCTCACGGTGGCTCCGGAGGGCTGCGGCCGAGATGGACGCTGACACTGGAGTGATGGTTTGGGTGGTGTGTTTCGTAACACGTGTGACCGAATTGGCACAGGCGGGCACAAAAGGACCGGAGCTGTACGGTTTGAGGAGATAAAACATGACGAAGGTCGGCGGACGGGCGGCGACAATACGGGGAATCAGGGGCTGAATGGATGTCACAGGCCATTAGTGGATCCTTAGCTGACGCTTTGTGTGACGTGAGGAATTATTACTAAATTTACCTCCACAACCGTTTCACATGACAACGCTTGTTTGAAATGGGCAGGCCACCGACCAGTGTCTGGGTAAAGGTAAGTGAGATTTATCCTGAAAACCGCACATGCACTCCCCACTCCCCGTCTCCGGTGTACTCACCGATCACCTCTCCGAGTTCGTACTTGACTCCCAGGATGGAGCACGACTTGGTCGGCTCCGCCCCGTGGTCGTGCACGTGGTTCTCGTCGCCGGGGAGCAGGGCGCGGCGCCGGCGGTGCTGCCGGGCGCTCCACTGCTCCTCCAGACGACGCACCGCCTCCGCGTCAAACACCTCCTCCCGAGGAACCTCCCGCCGGAGCCGGCGACCGAACTCGGGGAACGTGAAGTCGGACGGGTTGATGTCCTCGTCCAGATCGTAGTCGAATGTCATCACCGGCACTGCTGAGTGACCGAGATGACCCCGAGCTCGGGAGTGTGCACGGCGGGAGGGTGGACGGGAGGAGGGAGCCTCCGGAGCTGCCGGAGCTGGAGCCGGAGCTGCTGTCGTAGCGGCTGGGACCGTCGGAGCGGCAGTGCTCGTGGGGACCTCCGTGGTCGCCACCGTTCGTGAATCTGCCGCCTGTCGTCTCCGGGAAGCGAGCCGTGACCGGCGGGGCGGTAGTCCTCTTGGTGGAGATACAACCCGCCGGGAGGGGGTAAGGGGCTGGGTCTGAGTCGAACTCGACGGCAGCAGACGCCTCGAGTTCCGGCGACGGCCGGAGCGACGGAATCCGCGTCCCACGCCCGACGGTCTCGGCGCGGGAGTGGTCGGGGCTTCCGTAGTGGTCGTGGGGACCACTGTGGTGGTGACCTCCGGACTCTCCGTCACCACCTGGGCTTCGGCCACCTCCGTCTTCAGCTCACTGGACTCCCGCGGCCGAGAGGGGCCGAAACGGAACGGTTTCCTCGCCTCCGCGGCTGACAGGAGCTCCTGCGGGGAGCGGGGTGCCGCCTCGCCCCTGCCCTGGGGCATGGTGAAGTTCTGTGGCACGGACAGCTCCTCGTTGAAGTAGGTGGAGCCCGACAGCACGCTGGCAGCGACGGCCGAGTCGGCTGCGTCGGCGAGGTCGGCGGGCGGCGGTATGAAGTTGTCGGCGGGCTGAAACAGCGGCAGCACCGGAGGACCTAGTCGGATCTTCATACTCGGGCGCGGCTGCTCCCTGCGCCGGGTCGGCCGCCGTGACCTGACCCGTGACCTTGTGACAGTCCGTGGTGGAGTGACCTGAGTCCGGGGCACGCTCTGAGGCGCCCTGACCTGAGTCCGGGTCACCGTCTGCCGCGGCTGGGAAGGTGGAGGAGTGGGGCGGCGGCGCCGGCTTGGAGTGCGGGCGGGTTTGGTGGCGGCCGGCACTGACGCGCTGTTTGGTGACCTCAGACGCGACGACCTCAGCCGGGACGTGGTGAAGCGCGACCCGGACCTGCCCCGGCCCCGGGCGGGCGCGGCGACCTGCGGCGGCGGCGTCTCCGGAGCCGGCGGCGGTGTCTCCGGCGCCGGCTGTCTCGTCTCAGTCAGCAGACTAGACGCGCTGTGGATCGGCGCGTCGGCGATACTCGCAGGAATGGCTGCCGAACAGAAAACAATATCGCGTTACCAACTCGGACGCACTGGAGTGTGGAAAGCTGTCGCACGCACAGGTTATTATGTGTCGCGCTGGAAGCCTTGAAAAGACGTCCCACTGTGTTTCTCTATTAATCGTCCTGTTTTCATTTATCGAGGTCCTTTGTGAGACTGCCGATCGTTTCCTGTAGCGACTCTTTAATCACCTTCGGATTGAGGGCGAGAAAAAATGTGGTCGGCGGTAGTATGAGCGGTATCCTGCCGGCTGAGCGATCATGACATTGGATATTCCAAACGGTATTACCGAAGGATGTCTACTGGCAGCCTCCCTTCTATTAATCACCACACGTGCGGCGTCAGATCCAGAAAACGAATAGCCTGAACAAATAAGGCGAAGCTATTACCGCAGAATGAATTTCCAAAGCCGCGCTCCCCGAGACGGACTCCCTCACATGAGCCGGATCAGGGGCGTTAGCGCCGCGTGCTCAGTCTATGCTTCGCCCAGGATCGCATTCCTTGCAGTGAGCTCATCACCGCTACTTAACATGCGGCGTCACGAGATCGGCCGCCTGACCGCCCGGCTCGCGTGGGTGGCCTCTGCGGGCTCCCAGAATACCGCTGTGGCCACCCGACTGCGGTCTGAGGGGGGAGCGTCTGTCCTCGGACCTACCCGTGACGTGACGCGGTAACGTGACGTGAGGTGACGTGTCGCCGAGGGGTCGCGTTACGCGTGAGTCACGTTCTGCGTTAGGCGTGTGGCAGTGTGGAGAATGAGCGACAATAGCTTCTCCCACTGTGCCGCTCGGCTATCTTTGTAAAGCCGCCCACGGGACCCCGGGTGGCCGTGTTGCGGACAAAGATATCGTGCTGGCTTCGGCAACTGCTGCTGTAACGCATACGCACGGAGCGTGCTTATTTCTCCGTGCCTATTTCTCCTTCAACTGATTTCATTTGATTTAGGTATGACACTCATGAAGTTCACAAGATTGGCTAGAATGGCTCAGCTCAGCCAAGGATGACTATTCATTTTTGCGGTGGCATGATGCACAGCTATAAGCTCACCAGAACTAACATAATTTCCGGTACCGCGCTCGAAGCGGAAACTCAGCTTATTGCCGTGACATGGGCTTTTGCTTGTGATTTGATGCTGCCATGATGTTCCAGCATTTAGTAAATGTAATAGAACTGGCCACAAACGGGTCCTGAATGTCCACCCGCTATGCTCATCGTTATCATTCGTCATTGTTTTTAATGACCCAGAGGACTCTCATGGGCAAAACATTCACATTCGTGTGTATTTCGAGACGCGGTGTATGTGTAATTTCCGTGTATTTCGAAATAGTGATCTATTCGCTCCATTCGGAGTGTAATGGAGCAATCACGGCAAATAAGGATGTCCCAGTGACAAAGGCATCCGTCTTATTTACTGAAATCGACTTGCGTTTTGTAACGTTGGATTGAGTGGTCATTAGCGTAACAAATGCATGACGATAGCTTGTTTCTAGTCGAACTGAGATATTTATTGTTGCCCTTCATCCGTCAGTGCTAAATGGCGTTCATATTTCATCTCAAGCGTGATAGAGCGTCTAGTTTTCGATCACTAAATCTAATGTGCATAGTGCGTGCGTTCTTTTAAAGTTACGAATCTAATGTGTAATGCACCCTAATCATCTGCTGAAACTTATTTGCCAACCACCACACATAGAATACGCATTGAAATAGTAAAACAGTGAGCAGTCCAACATCCCAAGACCAAACATTGCTCTGTTTCAATATACAGCCTCTCAGAAACCTCAACACCCACAGAAGCCCACCAGTTTATAAATACTCACGGCAGACGTAGAGGGACGGATTGCAGCGGTCCTCCAGATGCATCACCTCGCAGAGCCGCGGCGGCGGCGCGCAGCTCTTCCAGAAGCACTCGATTCGGCCGTGGTGGCAGTGGCAGACGTGGCAGGGGTCGGGCTGGGGCACCAGACTGCCCTCTGACACCGTGCGGCCTCCGTCCACACACCCGCCGGCCGGGAGCTTGTCTGAGGACACACAGAGAGGGCACGGTCAGACAGGCCGAGTGCAAATCGGTGTTAGGGCCCTGCTTAACGCTGCAGTCGCCATCAGTGAGTCTTTAGTCTATGCCAGTGCCCTGTAAGTGTATGAAGTTGAAATATCCAGTGCTTGTGCTAGTGTTCAATGGAACATTGCAGTCTCTTTAGCCAGTGTCACTGTAGTGTCCTGTATAATGTTGCAGCCTCCATAGTGAGTGTCAGTGTTAGTGTCCTTTAGAACGTTGCAGTATCCGTACTCCGTAACCAGTGTTTGTGCCAGTGTCCTATATGATGTTGTAGTTTTCATAGTCAGTGTTACTGTCTTGTATAACGTTGCAGTTTCTCTGTGTTAGTTTCCTGTATAGCGTTGCAGTCTCCATAGCCGCTGTTAGTGTCCCGTGCAACGTTGCAGTCTCCATGACCAGTGTTAGTGTTCAACTGTTAGTGTTCTGCATAGCGCTGCAGTCCCTATAGCCAGTGTTAGTGTCCTGTGTACCGTTGCAGTCTCCAAAGCTGGTGTTATTTTACTTCATAACGCTGCAGTTTCCACAGCCAGTGTTAGTGTCCTTGTCTAACACAAGTGTCTAGTGTTTGTCTAGTGTCTAGTGTCCCTAACGTTGCAGTCTCCATAGGGCCTGTTAGTGTTAGTGTCCTAATCACGCTGCAGTCTCCATAGTCAGTGTTTCTGTCTTGTAAATGTAAACGTTGCAGTCTCCATACTCCATAGCATGTGTTAGTGTTCTGTATAGCGTTGCAGTCTCCATAGCTTGTGCTGGTGTCCTGTATAGCGTCGCAGTCTCTATTGTCCTGCATAACGTTGCAGTTTCCATAGTCCGTGTAAGGTTAGTGTTCTGTTTAGCGTTGCAGTCTCCACAGTAAATACTTGTGTTAGTGTCTTGTGTAACGTTGCAGTCTCCAAAGCCGACGGCAGTTAGTGTCCTGTATAACGTTGCAGTCTATAGCCAGTGCTAGTGTCCTGTATAGCGTTGCAGTCTCCATGGCCAGTTTTAGTGTCCTGTGTACCGTTGCAGTCTCATAGCCAGTGCTAGTGTCCTTTGTAACGTTGCAGTCTCTATAGCTAGTGTTGGTGTCGACCTGTATAACGTTGCAGTCCCTATAGCCAGTGTTAGTGTCCTTTATAACGTTGCAGTCTCTATAGCTAGTGTTGGTGTCCTGTATAACGTTGCAGTCTTTATAGCCAGTGTTAGTGTCCTTTGTAACGTTGCAGTCTCTATAGCTAGTGTTGGTGTCCTGTATAGCGTTGCAGTCTCCACAGCCACAGTCAGTGCTAGTGTCCTGTGTACCGTTGCAGTCTCTAGTGCCAATGCCAGTGTTTGGGTCCTAATAACGGATTCTGTTTCTGAAGTTTCTGTTCGGGCAGTTCTAGCTCAACATGGCCATTCCACAACACCTAACAGACACATCGCTGCCGTTGAAATCACCGAATTCTACCTGAACTCACACCTACCTTGTGATGAGACGCCGACCGCCGTCAGCAGCAGAGCCAGTCTACAGAGGAGCTCCATCGTGGAGCCGTCTCCCGTCCTCAGGGACCGCGCAACTCGCTCGTCTACTGTCTTTACAAACCGCACACCGCTCTGACCTCGCCGGGCGCGGAGGGAGCGCGGAGCGAGCACGTCCGCCGCTCGCCGCACGTGTGCACCGACTGACGGCCGGCCGGCCTAGGGTATCTATTGGGTGGGCCGGCGCTCGGAGCGCGACACGAGATGGTGGACGGAGTCCCACGTCTGACAGGTGATGTGAGAGGGACACGACCATGGGCATGGGAGTTTTAGAGGACGTAATGATCTGGGGGGGGGGGGGGGGTCACGGGAAATTATTTATATTACATGCATGGATAGCCGTCATTTTTGGGCTACTGCGAACACAGGCTTGTCAAGGATGAGTTAGGCACATTGTTTGTTCTGTTACCCAGGATCGCAACAAGTCTTCTGTTTCGTCTCAGAAGTATGGCATGAAGACTAAGAGGCTATCTTTCAAATGAAGTAGAGGATACTACCTTTTGTTCCAAGAACACGTGTGCGAAGTCCGATGTCCTTGACACTGAGCTTAGCCGGTAGCCCAACACGCCAGAAGCCCGCAAACCGGTCTCTTTTGAGAGTCCGGGATCGCGGTCTGTGGTCCATGAGCTTCAATCGAGAATGAGCCATGAAGTCTCGCACATCCATATATTGAGGCGGATACAAAGTATAGGTATGCTGGGGTCGTCAATCATAATGCTTTCAAGGGAGGTTCAACAAGCATTTTGTATTTAATTTAACGTTACGAAGTGCAAAATTGTCTCACTTCACCGATGTAGCTCATTACAACAGGCTGGAAGTAGCCATCCTCCTATGTTTTCTTCTCGTTATTAGAGCTCCAGCCAACGGCTGTCGGGCCGCCTGTTCTGCGTAACAATGAAGCGTCGGCACACACGCGCAGTCGGCTGCTCTCTGACCTGGCTCAGCTGACCTCTGACCTGGACAAGGTCGCCGCTGGTGACCTGGCGACCTCTGTATCCTCCGGGCGCCCGGGAAAGCCGCGCGGGCCGCCGGCGTTTCGTCACAGCTCCAGTGCAGCGGCTGTGTGTGCTCTGTTAGTGCCGCGTTAATTAGCTACCTGAGCGCGTCTGTTGGGTCGGGAGGGCCTGGGAGAATGCCGAGAGACGAATCAGGGAGACGGGACAAACGTGAGCCATGGCGCCTTGTCATGTGACCGTAGGGTGCTGGCAGAACTAGCACGGTTACAGGTTATCATTAGCGCGTGAATAAAGATGAAAATATTACGCAGCACATCATTGAAGATGCTCAGATGAGGTAGGTAGGTTCTGAACACTTAACGTTACGCAGGTACCTACCTAGTTACACGGCATTTTTCATTTTTGGGTTTTTGTGTGTCATTTTTTATTGGAATATAAATTTAGTTCGAACCTTTTGATTGGAAGGCTTAGGATTCACAAGGACAGAGCCCCCGCTCTTACGCCCATAAACGTCAAGCGCCCGTCGCAGTTGACTCTTTTCTTCTTTCCGTTGCTTGCATTTCTTACAGTAAAAAAATAACACTCGCCCGTATTTACATTTTCCCGGCCATGCAAGGCAGTCGGCCATGGTAGGTAGTGGGGTGGAGGCCGATCCGCGACCGGACTGCGCCGGTTGGCGACCGTCGATTCCCGGTTATCCTAACAAACCGAACACTCACTCGCTCCCTGTTATATGAGGCTCGCGAAGGACCCAAATTACCTACATGACCCCAAGTGGTCAGAGTGCCGAGTGATTGACGAATGACGGGGCATTGGTTTCCGGGCTCCGGACCGCCGCTGATCAGACATCGGCGCTTCGGGATGTGTCGGGCTCGGGCGGGCGGATGGCAGTTGTCTGGTGCTGACATCTATTTCAGGTTTATGTTGCCACCTACTGAAGCTGAGTTGGTTGTTGAATTGCCTGCATTTAAAGTAAGTCATGATTTTCATTTTGCAGGTATTTATGTAGTTTGTTCTATGCAATACAAATAAGAATGGTCACTAGTACTAGGCGAACATACCTGATATATAGGTATGCAGTGGCGCGGGAACTTCTTCCAGACTGGGGGGGGGGGGGGGGGGCTGAACCATAATAGAGATCAACCTAGGGTACCCCCAAATCTAGTTTTCTCACCGGTTTTAGGCCACTTATTTTTCAGACCTTACCTTTGCCTTTTCAACGAAAAAACGCAAATATTTGCAAAAAAAGCGAGATATTCCGTCTCAGCTGAGTGGCAACCTGGAATCAAGGTTTTAATCTGCCAAATGAGTTGCCGAGCCAGTGAGAGAGGTAGATAATTTTCACACATGCTTTCTTCCTTTGTGACCCACAACACCTAATTTGGGGAGGACAAGCTGCCCCAACGGTTCCTGGCCTCATGAAAAGTTGTGGGGCACCGCCCTCACGGCCCCAGAGTTGTGGGGGCAAGCTTCCCCCACTGCCAGTGCCCCCTCCCCCGGTTCCCGCGCCTATGTATGAATCTATGAAATTATGTTGGTAGATTTCCGATTTCGATTCCTCCAGCTGGGGGGGGGGCTCAAATACATTACGAGCCCCCCAGCCGAAAAGTTGGAGGGGCTCAGCCCCCCCTAGCCCCCCCGGTTCCCGCGCCACTGTAGGTATGTTCGTTTACAAAACGACGTGCATTTCTGTCGAGTGAACACGGATATTTGTAATTAGTGTCGCTGTCTCTCTATCGATTGTAACAGCCGCGTCACGTATGACTTCATGCAATGCCAGTTTGTTGTTGCATCGGTTGCATCTGATTCTGATTGCATCAATAGTTGCAAAATTGTTGCTTCATTGCAGTTGTATTGAGAACCGATTGATCATTTATTCTTTGATCATTCTCAACCCTTGATTCAACCTCAACCTATGGTTGAGTTAACAATTCTTTGATAACCCTAGTGCCAGTACATTGCTGGATTTTCTGATCTTGTGACACAGACACGATGGAGGTAAGCTGATGCGTACATAAAGTGTGATTGTTACGATTCCATGACGGTTTTTCGTCCAGCAGATTTTCGTCGGACAATTTTTCGTCCGCAGATTTTCGTCCGACTTTTTTTCGTCTCGCATTTTTCCGTCTGTACATTTTTTCGTCTGTGCATTTTTTCGTCTGTTCATTTTTTCGTCTGTACATGTTTTCGTCCGGACATTTTTTCGTTCGTATATTTTTTCGTCCGTGCGTTTTTTCGTCCGGACATTTTTTCGTCTACAATTTTAACGTAACCTAACGTAACCTAACGTAACCTAACCTAACCTAACCTAACCTAACCTAACCTAACCTAACCTAACCTAACCTAACCTAACCTAACCTAACCTAACCTAACCTTACCTAACCTTACCTACTGATGTTTGCCTACCGGGGGATAAGGAAAAAGTTACTTGCATGAATAGATTGCAAGCAATGGTAAGTCAAATATTTTTAGGTTAAGTGGTTATGCATCAGGCTTCAGGCCTTCGGCCTGAAGCCAGATACACAACCACTTAGCCTAAAAATATTTGACTTACCATTGCCTGTAATCTCTCCTAAGGCATTGCCTTCGGCACTGCACTGCTTCGCCCCGAGTATTATTATGACGTCATTTGCCTCACAGTTGAATAGCATTGTATTATGTTTTCACTCAACCTTGGGTGCACAGACGTAAAATTTATTGAACGAAAAAATGTCCGGACGAAAATATGTACAGACGAAAAAATATACGAACGAAAAAATGTCCGGACGAAAAAATGTACAGACGAAAAAATGTACAGACGAAAAAATGCACAGACGAAAAAATGTACAGACGAAAAAATGCGAGACGAAAAAAAGTCGGACGAATATCTGCGGACGAAAAACTGTCCGACGAAAAAATGTCAGACGAAATTTTGTCCGGACACGGATTGTTACACTTGTTGCATTCTGATTCACTGCCATTTGCACCTATAAAGTTAGTTATTCACTGACCCTGACCCCGAGTTTTATAAACAATACAATCACGATGCAATAATGATAAATGCATAGATTGATAGGAAGCTTTAGATGCCGATTTTACCGCCGATTTTTGCCAAAAGTGTACCCAAATGAATAAAAAAAAATTATTCCATGCCCATATTTGGTCATGGCTCCTCCGACCAGAATCAAATTATTGATGCCTCCATATTTTGATTCCTCAACTGATTTGCTGGTGAACTAAGTCAAAGTTTTTTTTCTGAAAGGTGCTGTTTAATTTAAGAATTGCTTATCAATAACCCTACACTGACACTTACTGGTGGAGTATAAGCCAGGGTTGGCAGGGGGTGGCAAAAACTGGTTTTTGCCAGTGGTTTTAACCGGTTTAAACCGGCTGGCAGAAACCCCGGTGGCAAAAACTGGCAAAAACTGGATAAAACTCAGGTGGCCCAAACCACAACTTTTCTAGTTAGGAATGGATCTGAAATGTACAGATGCATTTCTGGATGCCATAAAGATGCACCAAACGTTCTGAACTTTGCCTCATTACTTATCCCTGCTTAAAATGTCTGCATGTCTGTAGACATCCACCACAGAATGTATTTACGTGTAGGGGAGAGTGGGACAAGGCGGCCACGGTAAGTAGGGTGCCATGCGGCGCCGTGCGCATATCAGTGGCAGATACCCCTTCGCACTTCTGATTGTACAGGACTCACTCTTGCACTGGCTCATTTGTCAACCCCAAAAGGCGTCTTACTGATTCCAGGGCACTAAAGACTGGTTCCTTATGGAAAGCCCAATCCCATGAATTTTTTTTGAGTTATAGAACACTTGAATGGTCAATGTCACTTCTGTTTGAAAGCATAAAGCTTTCACCGAATTCTCCTTAAAATGTTTTATGTTCAAATCCATGTCTCGGCATATCATCGTGATGGTTTTTAGTTTTTGCCAGTTTTTGCTACTTTTTGCCGGTTAAAACCGGTTTAAACCGGCAAATGGCATAAACTAGTTTTTGCCGGCAAAAATGCCAACCCTGGTATAAGCAGCTGATGGTAATGGCAAATGCCTGAGGCAAGAGGGGGCTGACATAGACCTAAATAATGCAGGCATTCCACCAGGCACACTGCAGAGTGCAAGGGTGGTATTTCAATGGCACACTGCCAGCCGCTGCCAGCTCACATTACTTACCTGGTTTACTTACCTGGTTGGGTTCCCTTCGCTTGGTAGTCTTAGGAAAAAGGGCTGGTAAGGAAGGATAGGAACCCTGTCTCACAAGACACGCCAGTTCAAAACATGCTATACAGTTGTTCCAGTTTGGCAACGTAGGTCACAAGAATGAGAACTGGAAATGTGTGTCTGCAGTATGACAGGCAATAGATACATTTCATGTTAGCGATAATACATACAGAGAATACCAATATAACGAGCGATTTTACAAATATTCTACGAGTTTGTCTGGGATATGCTGCTCTAGACCCCTCTTGAAGGACTGGATGTCCGGAGCAGTAACAACAGATTCAGGGAGGCTGTTCCAGAGGTTAACACATCGTTTGGAGAAAAAGCGCTTACGTACATCAGTGCACGAACGGGTCACATAAATCTTACGACTGTGACCTCTGGTGACGCTGCAGTCGGTTAGAGTGAACATGGAGTCTGGACTTATACAGCTGTGACCATTCACAATCTTCCAGTACTGGATGAGGTCAGCCCTAGTCAGCCTTCCCTGTACAGAGTAGAGCCCTAGCCTGTTCAGTCTCTCTGCATAAGTTAAGTCTGATAGTGACTCCACGCGCTTAGTCCATTGCCTCTGGACACGTTCGAGTTTCCGAGCATCCTCCACGTAGCCTGTGTTCCAAAGACACGAACCATATTCAATAACTGGTCTGACGTGGGTCTTAAAAAGGAATGTCATAAAATCAGGATTGCGACGCACTGTGGATTTGAGGAAGCTGTGGCAGAGTCCTGAGGCTTTATGAGCGACGGATTCAATGTGTAGGTGGAACTTCAAGGATGTGTCCACTGTAACTCCTAAGTCAGGATGTGAGCTGACAAAGGGTAGCGGGTTCCCATTAAGGACATAGGGGGTGGGGGGCACCCGTTCTAGGTTCCGGGAGGATCTGGAGAATCTTAGCACGGCGCATTTACTGGCGTTTAGATGCAGTCCCCAGGATTCAGAGGTGCGCACTAGAACGTCCACATCAGATTGCAATGACTGCACAGGGTTGGTATCGTCTGCGTCAGTCAACCTGCTAGTACATGCATAAATTTTTAAGTCATCAGCGAACACCTTATGCTTACAAGACAGTTGGGAGGCTATGTGGTTGATATACACAAGAAAAAGGAGAGGGCCGAGGACCGATCCCTGAGGGACACCACTTAATACAGCCTTAGAGCTACTCAGTATGTCCATCACGCCGACCTGTAACGTTCTGTGAGAGAGAAACGATGAGATCCAGTCAAGCAGCAAGCCATCAATCCCGATGAGGCGAAGTTTGGTCAATAGTATGCTGTGGTTCACAACATCAAAGGCCTTGCTGTAGTCAAACAGGATTACATCAACTGTGCTACCATCATCCAGTGCCTGTGAAACATCATTGTACACCAGTAGCAACTGGTCAACGGTGGAGCGCCCCGGGCGGAATCCAAACTGGTGATCAGACAAGACAGAGTGTTCCTCCAGGTAGCTGTGGACATGGGCACATATTAGTCTTTCCATGGCCTTGCAAGACACTGAGGTTAGGCTGATGGGCCTGTAATTCAGTGGATCATATCTGCTGCCTTTTTTAAAAATAGGTACAACCAGTGACTTTTTCCACATCATGGGAACACAACCTTCAGACAGCGAACGTGAGAATATGACGTACAAGGGGTAAGCCAATGCGTTGGCACACTTATTCAGAAGAAGGGGATGTATTAGGTCCGGGCCCATAGCTGAGTTCCCGTCCAAGCCACGGAGCAGTGCATGCACGTCGCCAATGGAGAACTCCAGCCTGTCAATGTGTGCGTCAGACAACTGGTGGGGCTCCTGGTGAGTCGGGGTAGACTGGCAGAACACCGATGAAAAGGAGGAGGCCAGACACTCACTCATTATCTTGGGATCACCACTCACCTGGCCACCTGGGAGCCTAAGCGGGCCCACAGTGGCAGGGGCAGTCTTCTTGGATCTGACATAGGCATGAAAAAGTTTAGGGTTGTCTCTCCACGCATCAATCAGCCCTGCTTCATACCTGGCCTGGGAAGACACGGCAAACGATCTGCATTGGCGGTTCAGGCTGCAAAACTTTGAATACGCTTCAAGAGCATCGTTAGAGCGCCTACCACTCTGTCTGCGGATATTCTTGTAGGCCTGCCAAGCGCGCTGCCGGTCCCGTGTCAGACTCCCTGGGGGCGTTACCTTCCATGGCACTGCACTCCTGGGCCGGAGGGTCTTGACAGGTACATGTTCCTTAACTACATCACTGACAATCTCAACAAATTTATCATATGAGGAAGTTAGGTTAAGGTAGGCAAACTCAAAATCCCAGTCAACAAGCGATAGTACCTCCGATATCGCCGTGTAGTTACCCTTGTGCCATGCTAGACGGTTGTTGGGGACGGTTTCTTCCAGCTCACCACCTGTTTCAAATACATAGTCAAACAGGACTGGACAGTGGTCACAGGCTGGCAGCGGAGCTTCAGTGCACACGTCGCCGATACGATCATGGTCAGTGGTGAGAAGAAGATCCAGCGTGTTCCCTGATCTAGGGTACGTAGGTTGCGTGACCCACTGTATCAGGCCACAACTCCTGAAAAGCTCTAAGAAAGACCCAGATAAGGAAGATTCCCTGTGGAGAGAGATGGATGTCGCATTATTCCAGTTGATATCTGGGAGGTTGAAGTCTCCCACGATAATAACCTCTCTGTCACAGACCAACAATTTGAGGACATCGATCAGGGCAGCATTTTGCGCGTCATTGTACGATGGAGGTCTGTACACGATCACTATGTAGACATTAAAATCTGAAAGACGGAAGCTTAAGACATTATCATAGGGGGTAACCACCTGGTCCACCATTAAGTTCCTGCGAACAAAAGCACACACACCATGTTTGGACACTGTACCCTTGGTGTCGTGCCTGATGATTTCATAGCCAGGTATGGAGACAAAGGAGCTTTGGGACAGGGAAGTGAGATGGGATTCAGTGATAGCAATAATACTAAGTTGATGCTTGGAAATGAATTGGGAAAGGATGCCAAGTTTGCTAGACAGACCATTCAAGTTCACCTGGCAACATCTGACAACAGAAAACACAGTCTTAGGAGACATAACATTTAGTTTTGCGTCTCATCCCTGTCGGAGTGAGGTGGGTCTGAAGATGGTGCGGGGCCCTGAGGGTTGCCTCCGTTGGGTGGCGTCGCGGTACCTCCGTCAGCAGCCTGTGGGAGTTGGTCAGGTGACCAGACCGTCTTGGGAACGGTCTCACTGTTTGGGGGAAGTTCCGCAGCAGCAGCACTCCCAGGTTGTTTGCTGGCAGCATCCGCCTCCCGCCTCAGCCTGAGTTCACCTCTCTGCGCAAAGGTGAGATCTCTCCTAATGTAAACATGTTTGTACTCGGTATGTCTGAGTTCCTTAGCCTGATCTAGAACTAGTTTCCTCTCTGCTGGGTTAGGGATCTTTGCACGACAGATGCCGGAGTGACCTGGGATGATCACAACATCAGATAACACCACTCTGGCCCCCATCTTCCTTTGAGAGATTTCGCAGAACTCATCCACAATCCCGCCAGGAGTAGTAGCTTTCAAACCACGAACAATGATAGAGTCTCGACGCTTGTCCCTCTCATGCATCTCTCTCAGCTCCTTACGAACAATGAGTCTGTACTGGTCAAGTGAAGAAGATGATGGTCCATCAAGATTGGAGTCTCGTCCAGGGGGCGGGATGTTATGGTTCAGTCGGGCCTGAGGTGGGAATGATCCCAGGTTCAGTGAAGGAGCTGGGGGGCCACAGCTTGGGTTGGGTTGGGTTGGGTTGTTGCGAGACTCTCAGTGGAGAGGGTGCGGACCTCCGCAGAGAGGGATGAGAGGACAGACGTCATTCCACGCAGCTGTTGGAATAGCTGCTGAAGTGTATCAGCCATAAATTTGTCAGCTCGGGCAGAGGGGGAACCACCCGAGCCCTGGCCTGCGGTGGATGCTCGGGTGACTCTACACTTCATGCACATGTACTTAATACCTTCACCACTGTACTCAAGTATAACATCGATTACCTTCTGGGGCAGGCCCGAGCACATCTCTGTAGCATGTAGCCACACCTCACATTTGTCACAGCCAATGCTGTTGTCTCCAACCAGCAGATTACAAGTACCACAGAGATCAGGTGCGGCAGTAACACCACCAGGTGCACTCGGGGTGCAGAGATCAGGAGAGGGGGCAGCGCCAGTAACACCACCACCAGAGGTGTTGGCCACGGCAGCCACGCTGTTCTTTTTAGCATTTTTAAGTTGGTTTCGGGTTGGCATGGCTATTGTTATGACTCAACACTTTCATGCAGGGCAGCCGTCACACAACATGCAGAGCAGACATCACACAACGGAAAGCAATCAAGTCAGTGCAACAGATATGCAAGAATCGATGAAATGAAATAAATAAATACTAGCAGCACTTAATAGGAATTTAACAAAGATAGGTGCAAATAGATGCCTAATCAAACACTATCACAGTAGTGGGTACCTAATTAATCCGAATTAGAATAAGAGAAATGAGCACACAAAGGCAAGGACCAGGAACATAGAGTGATGCAGCATGCAAGCGTGCAAGCTGGGCCTGGGCAAGCGGTTTGTGGCAGGACTGACAGACCATGCAGTGGTACTTCCAAACCAGGTTTAGTGTGCAGAGTTGGTCCGCAGCGGTCCGCAGCTCCCAGGCTCCAGCTCATGCAGGTGTAGGCTTCCCAGATGCAGGCAGAAGCTCTTGATGTCGCTCAACCGTGCCCATGTAAACAATTATTCCGCTATGAGCAGACTTGAGCGAAAACAGTCATTCAGCTTCAAATACAATCAAAATATTCCTTCCGATTCCGGCGCGCGGCCTTGGGCGCGCTCCTTCAACTTCAATTTGTGTTTCCATGGAGTCATCAACAAGTCCATTGCTCCAACACTACCACAAGTCTGACATCAGCTTGCAAATTGTGCTGGCAGTGGCTGGCAGCATGCCTTGAAACAGGGCCCTGGCCGAATCCAGCGCTGCACTGCTTCAGGAAGGTATTTTGGTCAACTGGAAGATAAACCTTTTTTCCTTTAGAACCAACTTTGCTCAAAACTAGTGAATAGATGCAATCCCTCCAATTGTTTTTCACTACCTGACCAATGCTTTGTCTGTTTGCAGTATGCAGCTCCAGCCCTGGCCAGCCAGCTGCTGGCCGCCCATGAGCGGACCCTGTTCTACGAGGACCCAGAGACCCAGAAGGCGGCTCTGAATGCCATTCCTGTACAGCGCCTGCGGGAGGAGGCAGGGATGTCTGCCGGGCCCTCGGAGGCGCCAACTGGGGCGATCGAGAAGCGCCCGGCGCCGGCCGATCGCCTGCTGTACGCGCTGCTCTGCTGGTTCAAGGACGAGTTCTTCAGCTGGTTCGACGCGCCGACGTGTGCGCGCTGTTCGGCGCAGATGGCGCTGGTGGGCCGCCGTCAGGTGTCGCCCGTGCAGTCGCTGGAGCTGGCCCAGCACGCTGAGCGGTTCAGCTGCCCGCGCTGCGGCACCGCCGAGGAGTTCCCGCGCTATAATCACCCGCGCAAACTGCTGGAGACCCGGCGCGGCCGCTGCGGCGAGTGGGCCAACTGTTTCGCGCTCTGCTGTCGCGCGCTCGGCTTTGAGACGCGCTTCGTGGAGGACCAGCAGGACCACGTGTGGACGGAGGTATACAGCGACGCCGAGCGGCGCTGGCTGCACTGCGACCCCTGCGAGCGCGCGCTCGACCAGCCCCACATCTACGAGGCCGGCTGGGGCAAGAAGCACCAGTACGTGCTGGCGGCGGCGTGTGACGAGGTGGCCGACGTTACGTTCCGCTACTCGGTGGATTTCGCTGCCACGGCGGCGCGCCGGCGGTCGTACTGCGAGGCGGCCGTGGCTGAGACGCTGGGGGCGGTGAACAAGCGCCTGCAGCGCGGCCTGGCCGAGCGCCGGCGGCAGCAGCTGGCCGAGCGCCGCGTCCGGGAGCTGGTGCTGCTGCTGCGGCCGCCGCCCACCGTCTGCGAGGCGCCGGGCCGCCAGTCGGGCTCGCTGGTCTGGCGGCTGGCGCGCGGCGAGACGCGCCCCATCTCCAGAGGGTTCGTGTTCCGTCCGACCGAGGAGGAGCGCTCCGAGCGCCGCCTGCAGTGGAGCTACAGCGCCGTGGAGGACCGCTACCGGCGGGGCGCCCAGTGGGCCGCCGGCTGGGCCAGCTGCGTCTACTCGGCCGAGGCCGTGCAGCGCAAGGTGGAGCGCGACTGGCACCAGGCGTACCTGTGCCGCACGGAGGGCGCCGCCGCCGGCTCCGTCTCCTGGCGGGTGGATCTGAACGGCACCGGCCTGACGACAGAGAAGGTGCGGGTCCGCCACCCGGCCGCCGAGTTCGGCTCGGGCCGCGCGCGCTGGTCGCTGAACGGAGACGGTCTCACCGTCCCGCTGACCGGTGACGGGTCGGTGGAGGGCAGCTCAGTGACTGACACCGTCACCCTGGAGGCCGAGACCGTCACCCTGACGGCGTGTCTGGACGGCGGCGACGGCGCCAACGCGTTCCAGCAGTCGCAGCTGTGCCGCGCGCCGCTGGACGGTCCCGACTCGCCGCTGGAGGTCACTGTGTGGCTGAAGGAGGAGGTGTAACGCCGCTCATCGTACTGCTGGACACCTCTCTGCAGGTAGGGGGGGGGGGGTATGAGGGAACTGCAGACAGGAGCTCAAGAGATTAGTGTTACTTCATGGAGTGGGTGAAACTACGTTGATGGCCGAATATGTTTCACATTTCATGACGAAATGTGTTAGGTAATCCATGGTGATAGTCCAGCTGGATGGTAACGGGTGGACAATGGATACGGTCGTTCAAAAGAAAGATGATTACTGCTGGACTGGACGGTCCGTGCTAGTCTCTAAGAAAATGATAAATACAGTCAGTTGTTGATCAGCACTGTCAACAAAGATGACGCGTGTTATTGATGACACAATATCATTCATTTATCGTTGATTGATGTAGGTATTGCTTACCGGCTTTTTACTTATTAACAGTTTTTTTTTTGCCCGTTTGTGTTGCTTTTCTGCCTTGGTTTAATTATAATTTATTATCTATGCAATGAGGAGTGAGGACCTCCCCTTTGCCTAATTCTTCCGTAACGCCGGCCATACACACGGCCAGTGTTTGCTTTACATATTGGCATTTTGTTAATTGCCTAGAACTGCCATTATATATCAGTATCACCGTGTGAAGTGGCCACAGTGGCAATGTTTTAATGCAGTCCGTGTGGTGTATCGCACCTTATTCAGGTGTGTGATTTATCTGGTCATTTTTAGCGTAGACTGTTATTGTGTTTGTTGTGTGGGGACGTGGGGCCGTTGAATCAGTTACCTGTCTTGCTGAATGCTTCACACGCTTTTAAGTATACCTTCAGCTACACCGCTGCTAGGTATATGTTGTGTCTAATTTTGCCTCTTTCCGTGATACAATATACGAAGCGTTGATAAAATATGCATGTTTCGCCGATACAGGCATAAATACCAATCAATTGTCAGTGGTTATTGTTATTCCATTTTTGATTGAAAATCACATTACATTTTCTTATCATAACATCTTTTCAGCTGGTTGAGCTCTGGTTTATTATGTACCTAATTTGTTACGTCCATGCTATAGCTTGTTCATTGTAAGGGTAGCGGCCCTAAATTATATGCACTTTGACCAGTGGACCACTGACCAGTAAGTACGCGTTGTATTCTTCACATATGTGTATTAACTGACCGGTACGTGCAGTGGACTCATCAGTGCAGCTTCCTCGATATCCACAGCGTCCATAGAACCTCCACCGACGGACGTGCTACACTTTGGACGATACACTCGCGCCTATACAGTATACACCTATTTACAGCAGATACTCCACACTGATGTGCACGCCAAATGGAACTAAAACGACCACCAAGGGTATGGGAATGTCTGATTATGCACGCATGTTAACTGCTCATAATTTTTAGACGTTGATATAAGTTCAAAGTGTAACACAAATGTAGGTCAGGAAAAGAACCAGCTAGGTGTTACCGGAACAAAAGTGTGCAAGACAACAGCAACACAACAAAAGCATAATTGTGAAGGTAACATTACATCATCTCACACTAGACGCATCACATTACACAGGTTATACAGTGATCTGCAGTTTTGACCAACACTCGCGCCGATATTTTTATGCTCGCTGAGTGTTATGCTCGTTATCTTACTAGCGCAGCAGTCACGACTTGTTCAACTACATGTTGCAGTGTACCGAAGCCCGCTCACCACTCGAAAGTTTGACGGGCGGGCGGCATCGTGACTTCGACTCTCGCGCTCACATATTGCTATCACCTTCATAGCACACGCGTAGAACACAGATAACACACCACTCATACATACGGGACTCACAGACACTCTCAAACTCGCACCCTCTCACACTGTCATTCGGTCTTATCGAGTATTTGTTGTCTTCACTAGTCGTTCGTAGATCAGCGATGTAGATTTGACTTCTGCACCAATGCAGAAGTTATTTCGCTATATCTGCTCGGATAGATCTTAGGCAGACCTGGGCTATCGACGTGGAGCCCTGAAGTCGAGCTGCTGATCGGCGGGACCTCTGTTTCAGTCGGTAGTGGTGCCGAACTACAGCCGGCCCCGCTCGCCGCCAGAGGTCACTGCTGTACTTAGCGCTCCCGTCGCTTGCCATCCGATGTTGCAGCCGAGATCGGTCGAAGTCACGGTGAGGTCAGCTGAGGTCACCTTGGTGTCAGCCGAGGTCACCTTGAGGTTAGCCTAGGTCACCGTGAGGTTAGCCGAGGTCACCGTGAGGTTAGCCGAGGTCACCGTGAGGTTAGCCTAGGTCACAGTGAGGCCATCCGATGTTGCAGCCGAGATCGGTCGAAGTCACGATGAGGTCAGCTGAGGTCCCCACGGCCAAGGTCGCGGTGAGGTCGGCCGAGGTCACTGTGAGGTCAGCCAAGGTCACGGTGAGGTCGGCTGAGGTCACGGTGAGGTCACCCGAGGTCACGGCGAGGTCACTGCAGCCGGGTCCAGTAGGGGGAGCTGACGTCGGGCATCTGACCGGGCACCGCCAGAGGAACGGACACACCCGGCGAGAACAGACCTAGAACAGCGGGTCAGAAGTCAGAGGTCAGAGACCGGCGGGACACGGTCAGTGAGAGGCGTCTCTCAAGCACAGAGGTGCCAGCGCCAACGGAACTTCTCACTGAATAGTCGTGAAACGCTATTGTCGCAAGAGATGCTCATTCAAATTCAAGGAACTTTGATGCAACTGAGACTAAATAAAATGCAGGCAATGAGCTGATGGAAAATGTCTAAGTTCTGTGTAAGCGCATGGAATGTTATCAACAGATCACTGAAATCCATCGGTTGACTTACCACTTCCTCCGTGCGAGCTGACGGCTGGTGTGGTGGTGGGCACCCCGGGCACTCCTGTGACGCCGGGCACTCCCGGCACTCCGGGCACCCCGGGCACTCCGTACTGTCCGTTCAGCTGGTACTGTCCCCCGGCGCCCTGACACGGGCTGGAGCGGCCGTAGGAGAAGGCCAGCGGGTCGTAGGCCGAGCGGGCCATGTATCCGCCGTAGTCCCGCTGGCTCTGCAGACAGGTGCTGCCGCCTACCGGCCGCTGCTGGGACACGTAACTCATCGGGTTCACGGTAGATGGGCTGCGAAGGAGAAAGGGACTTAGTCAGCGGGTTGGAGGGGCCTGTCGACAGGGCAGTGGGTGCTGTTTGCAGGGGTACAGTAGAGAGGGACGCTGATAGCAGAGTTAGAGCCAGAGGGGCGCTGTTAGCAGAGCGATATTGCTGTATCAATCAGTGGTATAGGGTAGGGGGAGTGTGCAGGAAGAGCCAGTCTTTTTTAACCCTATTCCTGGCGGGCTCCGCCGGGACAAGAAACTGGCGGGGGGGGGGGGGCGATTCGGCCCCCCCCCTTCAGATCTCAAAAACTACACATCGCAGCGACAAACGGCGAACGGCCTTTGATAGGTCGTTTAAAGATCTACAACTTTAACATAAAACATTTTCAGGTCAGGTCAATATTGAGGTCACCAGAGGTCATCAACGATAAAATGTTTTGGAATTAGTTACCTATATAACTTTTAAACTAAGAAACATAGAGACATAAAACCAATACATTTTTTGTTGCTCTCGCCGAGGCGATGCGAAATAAGTATGTGATGACCTTCACAGGTCAATTTGAAATTTGACCTGAGGTCAAGGTCAGGTCATTCATCAATGAGGTTGTGGGGTATGGTCATGTTGCATACCAAACGACGCGCCTTGACCAGGCGAGCAGTTTGGTACCACTTACAAGTCTTTAGCACCATCATGTCGTGATTTATTTACAGAAAAACGATTTATGACGTCACATGACCTCAGATGACCTTTGCCGGTGCCCCTGTCAATTAGCGGCAGCAGGATCATCACCGATGAGATAATCTTCCATAATACTGAAAGAATTGGGTGGTTTTGACTCGTTTACACGAAGCAGGAGGCGTTTCAATATTTTCCCATAGGCTTGCAATGTAAAGGTCACGAGTCTGGCCTGACCTCAGGTCACAGATATGAAAATTCTGAGATATACAAATTGCACATACTGGTACCCTAACTAAAGCCTGAAGAGAAGAAATTGATCGGTCAAAAACTCTAGCTCTGGCGTGATTGCAAACTTTTCTGAGGTAGGGTCACCAAACCGCCTCTGGTGACCTGACCTGAGGTCAGATCAACTCAAAATTTTCAGAAATGTTGCGTAAAAGCCTTTTAGTAAAAGTCAGAAAATTTGAGCTTCCTAGCTCAAAGCGTTTGGGAGAAATAACCAAAAAACCTCAGGGGGGGGCTCCTGAGGCCCCCCCCCCCCGCCAGGAATAGGGTTAAGGGGGGGGGCAGATGATCGCATACATGTGTTCATATGGGGAGCATTCATTCTGGCCAGGGTTCATAATGTCCAGGGTACGTTATGCCCAGTGTCGAAATGGCCAGTGCCTTAAATGGGCCAGAGTTCATAATGTCCAGGGATTGCATGGTCCAAATGCGGCCAACTGGCTGCAGATAGGGTATACTAGGGTGACCCGCGTGCTCCGCAACGCGAAAAGGGGTATTTACCGTATTTACGATCGGCGGGTGTTTGATTGTTCTTGTGTCGGTTGGGTTATCAATCCATTTCGGTCGATTGCTTTTTGACGGCTAAACGTTTTGGTTTGGAAAAAAATATCCACCGCATCGAGGTGCCCGTGTCTGATAAGCATGCTTTCTATACTTCAGAATCTGTTAAATGTGTTGGTGCGTAGTTTTATGACAAATGAAAGGCGTAGATAATTTTCGCTGAAAATGGTTCTGCGGAGGTTTGAAACATTTACATTTTTAAGAATATTGTTGCTTGTCATGCAAACGTGATGATTGGATCTTGGAGAGAATTGAATGCTCTTTCCAATGATAGTATATTTTCAATTATCAAACGTATTAGGTTAAGCAGCAAACCCCGTGTAATTATTTAGTGGCACATTATGGACAAATACCATTTTCTTCAGCGATTTTTTCCACCTTGTTTTTGATCAATTAGCTTTTCACAATTTTATTATGGGAGGCGGTACATTTCTCCTGCGAATAGGCGTTGTTTTGACTCACTCATTCTGACGGTCACGTGAAAATAAAATAAAATCCAAAATCCATTTAAAACGGCACTTTCTGAAATAAAATTGCCCTCACGTGTGCACGTGGCGCGTGCCAACTCCTGCACCGCACACCATTCGATAGCCCGTTCGATTCTCTACACGATGCTGTTTTCCCCGTACCGGTCGGGCCCACGGTTACCGAGATATTGCACCGGGACCGGACCCGTGTCGGGCAAATTTGGCTGTTTTCGCCCGTTTTTGCCAGCCGATTAATACATGTAAAGTCTATGACGCGAATTTGCACTTTTCGGGCACGCGCCACGCGCTCGCTATCGACCCGATCGAGAAGAGACCCCTCAAAGGCACGTTGTCCGTCCTTGTTCTATGAGTTGCGCAAACTTCAGCGCGGTAGGTGCAACGGTGTGACCTGTAACCCGCGCTACGTAGCACCATGTCGCGACCTCGGTTACAGACAGAAACTACGTCACCTCAAATAGTAATATAGATTCAAAGAGGCCAGGGTTCATAATGTCCAGGGCACGATGTGTCCAGTGTTCGAAATGGCCAGGGTTCATAATGTCCAGGGCACGATGTGTCCAGTGTTCAAAATGGCCAGAGTTCATAATGTCCAGGGCACGATGTGTCCAGTGTTCAAAATGGCCAGTGCCTTGAATAGGCCAGAGTTCATAGTGTCCAGGGATTACATAGTCACTGAAAGTGACGTCATTATGTAAAAAACACGGAACCAGCTCAATGCGAAGCAGTGCAGTGCCGAAGGTAATGCCTTAGGAGAGATTACAGGCAATAGTAAATCAAATATTTTTAGGTTAAGTGGTTATGTATCTGGCTTCAGGCCGAAGGCCTGAAGCCTGATGCATAACCACTTAACCTAAAATATTTGATTTACTATTGCTTGCAATCTATTCATGCGAGAAACTATTTCCTTATCCCCGGTAGGCAAACATCATTACCTTAGGTTAGGTTAGGTTAGGTTAGGTTAGGTTAGGATAGGTTAGGTTTGGTTGGGTTGGGTGGACTATGTAATCCCTGGACACTATGAACTCTGGCCCATTCAAGGCACTGGCCATTTTGAACACTGGACATATCGTGCCCTGGACATTATGAACCCTGGCCATTTCGAACACTGGACACATCGTGCCCTGGACATTATGAACCCTGGCCATTTCGAGCACTGGACACATCGTGCCTTGGACATTATGAACCCTGGTCTCTTTGAATTTACCCTATCTGCAGCCAGTTGGCCACATTTGGACCATGTAATCCCTGGACAATATGAACACTGGCCAATTCAAGGCACTGGCCATTTCGAGCACTGGACACATCATGCCCTGGACATTATGAACCCTGGCCTAAATAATACGCACCCGTTCATATGGTCACTTTAGCAAGCAGTCAGTGGTCAGCAGTCCGTTCTCACCAGTAGGAGTCTGCCATGGAGCCGGTCGGCAGCGGCGGCGGGTACAGGGAGCCAGAGAAGGCCCCTGCGCCCCCGGCGCCGCTCGGCTGGCCCACAGGGGACGCGCTGGGTGCCGGCTCCGGAACCCGCCGCGACGAGCGCAGCTTCTCCTCCCGCCGCCACTTGGCCCGCCGGTTTGAGAACCACACCTGCATAGACGGATATACATGGCGTCAGTAAATTGGGAACCACGGTGGAAGGATGAACAAGTTGAGCAAGGAGTGTACGTCTGATGTTAACTACACGATTTGTGGCAAATGAGCTCTGCAGAATATTATCGGATAAACATTCTTTAGTTTTCGTGACATTTTGCGATATAACTTCGTACCTATCTGTTTTTGTGTGAAACGAATACCTACCATTTATGGTATTCAATAAATGAGAACGTTACATAGTTTCTAGTCAGTCTAATGGCCCGCATCAATCTAGCTTCAAGTGTTTTTTATCCGAGAAGTGTCTTTGTTTTCCGACAAAGTTTTATCGTCTGATTTTGCCTGCAGGAATGTATCGATCGATACGCCGGCCGGGCGGATATCTGGCGCTGTGCTCAATGGTGCCCGGCTCGTGGCACGCTCCGATGGGTCCGGTCGATCCTTTCGGCTCTGGGTGCGATTCGCTGCCGAGCTACCAGTGTTCTGAGCAGCCCGGCCGGCCAGCGAGGCATCCAACGGGACTAAATAGTCGTCTGTTCGTGCGCGGCACTGGCGCTGGAGATAGCGGTAGACCAGACTACTCGAACACCATCGCTAGTGGGTAGAGACAGCCGGCAAGACAGAACTCACAGACACATTCCTTCTGGCGGACATCATACAATACCTGACGAAGCTGATAAGATAAGATAACTGATACACCGAGCGTTTTGACAGTTTTCCGCACCTGTATTCTGGCCTCGGGGAGTCCGATTTTGGCGGCGAGTCGCTCACGAGCGAAGACGTCTGGATAGTGCGTCCTCTCGAACTCTGCCGGAGAGAAATCAGTGTCAGCAGTCTTATTGGAGAGTCGGAGAGAAGGAAAGAGGTGTGAAAAACATCGATAGAGAACACACTATCTGTATCCTGGTGAGCAAAGGTTTGACAAGTTCTTTCCCATAGCTGGAAGAGTCCAGGTCTATAGATTTATAAAAGTAAGGGGACGGTCGATGGATATGCTCCTCCCGGGGAACACCAAGCCCTGGACAATTTTCTCGGGATCTGGCAGACTACCTTTTATTTTCATTTGTATTAGAAAGCTTTAAACAATTACCGAAGAGCGTCATCACGAGTAGCTACGCTCACAATGCGTTATGTCAGCCGGTTACCACAAACAAATGCCCGCATCATCTCGACTATCATTGCTCGAGGTTCATGGATTGCCTTCCTCGGACCCCTGTGCTGACATTTACTTTGCCTCTCCGCTCATCTTTCTCTGGCCGCTCTGCTCACCCTTCTCTGATCTCTCCGCTGACCTTTCTCTGACCTCTGAGCTCACCTTTCTCGAGGCTCTCGACCTGGTCGTTGGTGAAGGAGGTGCGGTTCCGCTGCAGTTTTCGTTTGAGTCGCACCCGCGCCTGTTCGTCATCTCCGTCGTTCGCGCCCGGCGTCGGGGACGAGGTGGCCGAACCGTCGTGAGACTCCAGACCTGCGGCAGAGGTGGGAGAAGATGAGTGGACTGTGGATTAACAGACGGTATGAAACATACAGCTAACAAAAAGACTGAAGTGCTTAAAAGGGATTGGAATCCAGGGTCGCGGACGTGACGGACGTGTTTTAAGGGGCTCTGTGTTTTAGGTTATTATACCGTAATGCTTTTGAATTTCACGCCATAGCGCATATCAAAACAATGCTAATTAAAGCGGGAAACGTTCTACAGTGATTTGATAATCTGTAGATAAAAAACGAAGTGAGAATCCTGAATTAAAAATAAGTTTTTTTGCCCTACATTTGTAAATTTTGAGAGGGCCTGAGAAGAGATTTCGCTGTTGATTTTTGGATAGAGGTCACGTGGTGCTAAGGGCATCTGACCTCTCTGCCGGAACAAACGTTAGCGTATAGCTGGAATTTGGCAACTATAATCATGGTCGACCTACAAACGTACAGAGCAAGAATTGGCTTGTTCAGCCTTAGATCAACTTGTGAAAAATCAAGTAAAGATCAAAAACCATCTCAAGTCCAACTGGCGATCGGCCTCGCTCTGATCACCACTCTGCTGATAATAGGAGGCATTGAACCAAATCCCGGGCCGATGTCCGGCTCAATGTACGAAGAGCAGGCATGTGAGCCGGGACCATCCTTTGCTGATGTCTCATTGGCTGACATAATGGAGGCGATCCGAATGACGCAGATGAAATTGGACAAGGTAGCGAGTGACGTATCTCAGCTCGCTAGCACTGTTCATGAGTTAGTGAGTAACGATCACCAAATGAGAGACGTTGGCCACAGAGGAGCAGCAGTCCACGATCACACGAAAACATCGGCGAATACCCAAAAGACGGAAACCAAAAGACGGATAAATGAGCGTGGGAAAATCGTGATTGGAGGAATCAACGGCGAATCGGCGAATACCCAAAAGACGGAAACCGAAAGACGGATAAATGATGAGCGTGGGAAAATCGTGATTGGAGGAATCAACGTCACCCGACTTCGTGATGCAGCGAAAAAGGGAGATGGTAGCTGTCCTGATGTTTTTGTTCGAACCAGTGCCCAAAACATTTGGAACGTTTTACCAGCTGCTGTGAAAAGGGTCAGCCAAAGCAAAATAGACGTGGTGTTGCACTCAGGTGCAGATCTTGTGTTAAATCACGCACCGGAATATGTTTTGGAATGTCTTTCAAGACAGATTAGTCTAGTCAAGCAGATTCATAAGACAAACAAGGTTTTTGTGTGCTCTGTCGAAGAAAGATTGGATGCTGGTTACTACGCTTTTGAGTCGGCAAGATCCGTGAATAGTGCATTAAGACAGCTGTGTGAAACCTACGGAGCAAGATTCATTGACCTACGACCAGGCTTAGCGGCGTGTAGGTTTCAGGGGATCAACAAATCTGGCATCTGTTACACCTTTGAAGCCAGTGAGCTTCTTTCTGGCGTTATCACGAAGGCAACACAGGATTTTTTAGAGTAGAAAAATATGGTGAGTTGCAAAGGAAGTCCATAAGGCAATACACGCTAAAAATTTTGAGTCAAAACGTACGCAGCATCAAGAACAAGATGGGGGTGTTACGGGCATGCGCGGCTGAGCTGCAGACGTTCCATGTGATAACATGGACAGAAACCTGGCTGAATGAGCAGGTAGAATCCTCCGAATTGTCTTCCTCTCTGCCTGATCACCTGTGGTTTCGACGAGACAGGTTAACTCACGCTGGTGGAGTCTTATGTGCAGCTGCGGTGTCACTTCATCCGGAACGAAGAGAAGATCTTGAGCCCGCGAACGTCGAAATGCTGATCGTAGAGCTTAAGGCCGTCCACACCTTGGTGTCGGTGGTCTACTGTCCCCCAAGTGATCATTGCTCGATTCCAGGGACATTTCAGATATGTCAGAGCATTTGTGCGAAGTACCCTGACAAAACTTTCATCATCACTGGGGACTTCAATGTGCCTGAAGTGAAGTGGGTTCCAGTCGAGGGAGAATGTTACACGACTCCGACACCCGAGAAATCATCTCAGCGGGCCTTCGAGCTACTGGAAGGCTATGAAACAGCTGGACTTGTCCAACATGTTCGTGAGCCTACACGAGGTAACAACTATTTAGATCTCGTACTGTCAAACGGGGCGTATGTAGATACGAGTGTTAACGAAGGATTGTTTCCATCAGATCATGCAGAGGTTAGGAGCACCATTTTAGTCCAAAAGGCAGGAAAAAGATTCATGAATCGACAATCAGTTTATGATTATAAGCGTGCCGATTTCCATGGCTTAAGAACGTCACTTTCCCTATATGACTGGGCAAACATTGACAACTTGCCGGTCGATGAGGCTGTTGCAGTCTTCTACTCCACATTTGGGGCATGTCTGCAGGAGCATATTCCAACAATAACCCTGAAACGTCAATACCCCCCATGGTTTGATTCTGATGTCCGCAAACTACTGTTGAAAAAGGAGAGGGCTTTTCATGCAATGAAAAGAGTTAGGAGCCAGGGTAACATAAACGAGTTCAGGGATTGCCGTAGAATTTTTAAAAAGAAGGCATGTGAGAAATATTTGGAATATCTCCAGAAAATAACTGGGGATTTCAGTAGTAATCCAAAGCGCTTTTGGTCATTTTTGAAATGCGTTAAGAGTTATAAAGGTCGCCTTCCATCGCTGCAGGACAAAACTGGCGAAGTATCGGATGATGTTAAGCGTGCCGAGTTATTTAATAGAGCATTTGCAGATAAGTTCTCGAATCCGTATGTGGAACATTTACCACCGGCACACGATTTTGATTTGCCTGCAATGACAGACTTTGAAGTTTCCTCTTCCTCCATCAGTTTGATTTTGGACAACTTGAATGTGCATAAGGCCTCCGGGCCGGATAATATAAGTGCGCGTATCATAAGAGAATGTGCTAATCAACTGGTTGTTCCTATCACTATAATTTGTAGGCTCTCTTTAAAACAGGGCTTTTACCCAGCTAGATGGAAGGAAGCTAATATTATTCCTGTTTTTAAGAGTGGAAACAAGAGAAACCCTACAAATTATAGGGCGGTATCAGTGACCCCTTTGTTTGGTAAAGTGCTTGAAATAGTCGTTCGAGACCAGTTATTTGCTCACGTGAAACCTGCTCTTTCTGAGAACCAGCACGGGTTTTTACCTGGGCGATCTTGCGAAACGAATTTGGCTTGTATGCTAAGCACTGCCTGGGATTCTATTGCGAATGGCAGACAAACTGACGTGATATACACAGATTTTCAATCCGCATTCCAAAGCGTTAACCACCAGCTTCTCATTCATAAGCTTAACCCTCGCCGGACCTATTGGTTTTCTACATACGCGCCGGCCGAGGGGGGGGGGGGGCGGGTACGACCCCCCCTCGCCGTTTCGCCCCTGGTGGAGCTAGCGCGTCGCGGAAAAAACGAGCGTGTGCGCCGTTACGAGACGCAGAGATTGGTACCCGATTTTAAGGTCCTAGGTCAACCGGTGACCTCTGAGGTCAGGTCAAGTGCCCCAGGGTACGGTTCAGTTTTTGGTGAATAACTTCGCAAATAACGGCCGCAGAGCCGCGATTTTGGCAGCATCGTGTTCGCCTCGCTCAGGCGCGTCGAATGATATACTTTTTGTTTGGGTCAGGTCAACTTGGGGTGTTGACCTCAGGTCAAGGTCAGGTCAGCACCCCCAGGTCACGAAGTTGGTCGAAAGAGGTCATGTCGCATATCATTCGATTCGGCAGGTCTTCCTGAGTCTATTGGTGGCTTTCTCGACTCGCTAGCTCAATTTGATCAAGAGTTATGGACGAAAAACTAATATGACCTTGATGACGTCATAAATGACGTCACGCAAGGTCAACATTGCAAAAGTGACGCATCTAACCTTGCAAGGAGTGCATCAAATCACGATTCTGTGTGCTTGAGATAGTTGGAGATCGTTCCCGGCGCCAGAATAGCAGTTTTCATTTTTCCCCATTGACTTATAATGGTGAGGTCACGAAAATGACCTGACCTCATATGACCTTTAGGAAAAATCCGAGATATACAAGTTGTGAGACTCATAATGGATACTAGATCCTGCAAGTTTCATTTCCCTGTGACATCTCCTCTGGCAGTGAGGGCGTTGCGAATTTGCGACATCTGAAGACCGTGCAGAGGTTCACTTATGACGTCATAGGTCAGTGACCTGACCTGACCCCAAAATGCGGTTGGTGTCAAAAGATGCGGCTTGGATCAAAGGTCAGGTATGCCAAGTTTCAGCTCTCTATCGCCAGCGTGTTCGGAGCTATCGCGAAAAAACCCTATGGGGGGGGGGCGGCACCCGCCCCCCCCCCTCGGCCGGCGAGGGTTAATAAATCCTATTGTATCAACGGGCTGGCTCTGAGCTGGTTTAGATCCTTTCTGTCGGATAGAAAACAAAGAGTCGTTGTGAACGGTAAGTGCTCCTCGTGGCAGGACGTTCTCTCTGGTACACCGGAAGGTAGTGTAATTTCGCCATTGCTTTTCGCTCTTTTCGTTAACGATTATCCATTGTGTGTTCAAACAAAATGCTTAATGTTTGCGGATGACATCAAGGTGTACTCAGAGATTTCAGATTTGACAGATACTGCACGGCTACAAGGGGATATTAGGAGACTTTATAATTGGTCGAAAACTTGGAAATTGAAATTGAATCCCTCCAAGTGCAAGCAGTTCTGTATTACCTTAAAAAGTGACCCCCTTACTTGTCAATACATGATTGGTGACACTCGCCTGGAAATCGTGCACACAATTAGGGACTTGGGGGTGGTTTTAGACAGACGACTCACGTTTTGTAATCATGTTGACTTTATTGTGTCTAGGGCAAACAAAATGAACGGCATTCTTATGAGGGCGATGCAGTCTGAATCAAAAATTGGCATAGTAAACTGGAAGTCAATTTTGACCGCCTTCTATGGAAATGTTCGTGCGATATTAGAATATTGTTGTGTCATATGGGGTGGTGCGGCAAAATCGCACTTAGATAGAGTAGAAAAGATAC